GCGCGTTCAAATTAATTCGAGAACGCAAAAATGCGCAGTTATCTTCAAGAATTAATTTGAATGTGTTCCCGATTGAATTTTTAGCTAAAATTTAGTATAAGTAAACTAGACTTGGTGAATAAGATGCTCAAAAAATTTCATCAAAAAATTCCACCGGGAGTTGCCCCAAATCGCGACGGCCGGACAGAACCTCCTATAGAAGGACTTAATTGACCTTTCTATGAAAGTTCGAGGACCTATTTAACAGTTTTCCCGCCTGATTATGATTTTCTACATTTTCATTTTAGAACTGAAATTTATTGCTAAATCGTGGTATGTGTCTAGTATATTTACTCAGCCTTAATATTTTCATCCCATAGATTGCTATGAAAGAGCTACGAGAGAGGAAGATTCCCTTCACAATTCGTCGGTATCTCCCGGATGGAAGGTCAGGCTCTTGCATATTTATAATTTTTTCTTCATATGTATCGAACATGAGTAATTTCCATCATTTGCAATGAAGCCAAAGATTCATTATTTTTTGGCTTGAGAATATGATGGAATAAAGCAAAATGGCTCCCTAAACTGTATGCGCTTCTTTGTTATGAAGCAACAGTCAGTCTGTGCTATTTTGGACGTGATTTTCACTATGGGTCATCCGGAAACAGTTTCTCTGCGTTTTAGTACAGGGGTAAGACTACGTACATCCGACCTCCCCTTACCCCACCGCAGGTGGGGAACCTTTGCGGCACTAAGGTAAATGAAAATGAAAAAAAATGATGTATCGAACATGAGTGTGGCCGTGTGGACAAGGAGGGGCATAGGCTGATACCATGTTCAGTAAAAGTCTGTTTTTTTGTTGTAAAAATTTATACATTGCATACACACCCAAAGACATGCATGGATATGCATACATATACATTTTGGTTCACATACGGACACATACCCATAGATACACCCTTACATATACATTTTGAATAATTGATCTTAAGTTCATGAATTTTACAATCTACAGTTATGAAGATTGGGGGGTTGACGAACTCATTGTTGAAGACTCGTGGAAGAGGCAAGTCGGGGGAGACTAACCGTTTCTAAATTGTTGTAGTGCCTTTGATAGAATGATGAGGTTGCACTGTCAACTGAATGTTCTTGTGGAACTGTGATTAGTTTCAATCTTTCTGCTCTCCTTATCGTGGTGATAGCTTGATTAGCAAAAAAAGAATTATTAGCATAAAATGCTTTTTGTACTTTACTCTAATTTCATAACATAGTGGTACCTAAGAGTGGGGTGGTCTCTTGTCCTGAATGGGGACTGGCCCAGTGGGCGGCGAGTTTAGGACCAATTAGGAGTGGACTTGTTCTGGAACCGGCTTGAGCACGGTTAGGGACCAGAAATTCCGGTCTCGAGTCTATTCCAAAACTAAATCGGGAACGTGTCCAACCCTAAGACCATTTAGAAGACTGGAAATCCGGTCCGGATCCTGGAGGTAGACCAGAATCGGTATCTGCGATGTATATTACCTCGCCTTTGGATACCCAAGGTTGTATTATCTTGTCTCTTTTGATCGTTTCTTGTCTCTTTTGATTGTTGGGTTGTGGGATGGGTGGGGTCGTGGGGGAAACACTTTTTTGTTTTTTCTGAAGGGGGACACTATAAATACATACTACATCCGTTCCAAATTGTTTTACAAAATTGACTTTCTTGGTCACTTAATTAGGATGCCAATTCTAATTATATTCTGATTGAGAATTTGCAACTTTGAAGAGATTTTAATTTTGTTTTTGAATATATATATTTTAATTATTAAAAATTGAATTAACTATCAATAGGGATGATTTAATTAAAATTGGTTGACAAAAAATGTTGACTTTTCAAATCAATTTGTGACAGAGAAGTAGTGGTTGAGGTTTGTGCAGAGGAGATAGAAAAATAGAAACCATAAAATAATTGATTGAAAGGAAAAGTGTCAAAGTATTTTGGGACGTACCAAAAATATTTTGGGTGGGGTGTGCCCTTGGTTTTAGACTTTTAGTATGAGTAGTATTTTAACTATTTTATGGATTTGTTCGCTAGCTTCTAAACAATTCGTCCAAGCCTTTTTGTGAAATTACTGTGGTTTGGAACTTTGGAACCCTTTTGCATCCAATTTGTTCAAAAAAATTGCTACAAATAAATATACTTGCGGTATATTATTTTTACATAAAAAGTCTGACTATAATAATTGCATCGCTTATTTCTCTATTTTTATAAGTTTGTTTGCGCTTTATAACATTTACATTTGTAAATTTCATAGATGATAAAAAATTGTAACAGCATCTCACACTTTTTTCAATGAATATAACATGTGAACTTCACTTTACAAAATCACGACAATGTCATCAAACCATAAGGCGGTATTATTTTTCACATTTTTACACACTTCAATTATCTAAATATCTCAGCTTCCTCTACAAATCCTACATTTTACATTATTACACTTTATTTATGTCTTATATCTCTAATTCTTTCATGGAAGCAATGTTAACTCATCACATTATTATTAATATGAACATATCAAATGCCATGTTTTATGTACACGAAAACATTTCTCTCCTATCCCTCCTTTCCTTATTCTCTAACTACTCAAATTGTAAAACGCCACACGAACAGTAAAGGCAATTTGCCCATTCATGCCTTTAAAATTACTAATCTGGTCAATTCAATTCCTATTTACAATCTGAGGTCAATTCCTAATTCCCAAATTATTTTTTGAAAAAATTTTATTGAATGAATATTGCTATTTGCTATATAGACATTGACATATTGTATGTACTATATTGAATATTGATATTGACATACTGTATGTATTAGATGATAATCAATAAATACATGAAATAATTACTTTCATATTATTGATATTAGTAAAGTAGTTGTTTTGTTTGATTGTCATTGTATTTAGAAGTCTTACGTTTTCTCTTAATTGGTTTGTTTATATTTTTGTATTATCTATAAATATATAGGTATTGTGATGACAGTCAATAGTGTATTTTAAACTATTATGTATTAAGTGGTTTGAAGTATATGTTTGCATTTAAAAACTTATCAATTTGAACACTAAAAACATTATATCTAACACTTTCAATATGCTTTTTTTTCTTCATATTGTGTTTTTAATCAATACATCTCCATTTTCAATACGAGTATGATTTATGCATAGTAAATATTTTTCTGCCTAGGCCCCCTGATATGCTAAAGTTACCCCTACAAATATATTGAACATGGTTAGAGTCACTAAAATTTATTGGCTCCGTATTTTTATTAAACATGTTTATTCTAGTAATATACTAGGAATTACTTCGGGTTTGCCACCCCTAATACGGACGATTTGAGTTATTGAGTTTATTGTGCAAAAAAAGTTTTGAATTCAAAATTTGACGGTTACACTTGCCCCATCTTAGTACGTACGCTACAATTGGAAGCTATACTATCATGAATTCTTTAAGAGGGTATGAACTTTGGTATAGTGTTTTTTCCATTTTCACTCCCTTGACTATTGGGTTAGTGACACTTTTGTTACTCGACTTTCAATTTTTTCATATTTAGTCCTCGACTATTGTGGACAGACACTTTTAGTCCTCGATTTCATTGTTTTCCGCATTTAGTCCCCTAAGTGTTATAAAATTCCTTTCATTATGAATTTGACACAATAAATGGAGGACTAAAAATGTCACTACTATAATAGTTGAAGGACCAAAAGCGTCAAATTTATGAAAGTCAAAGGTCTAAATGTGGAAAAACTCAAAGTCAAGTACCAAAAGTGTCAATGGCATAATAATCGGAGGACTAAGAATGGAAAAATTTAAAGTCGAGTACCAAAAGTGTGAATGACATAATAGGCGGAGGATTAAAAGTGACAAAAACTCCTTTGTATGAGTAGAAATCGAATCTTAATGGCAAGTGATGAAGTGGCATAATTATCATCACCATTGCTTAAAAAAAATCTACGTAGTATAATTTATTACTCACTTCGTACAATCTATGAAATTAGTAAAAATCAAACCGACCAAAATAAAAACTAGGAAAACAATGAACGGTTTGGTAAACATATTTAGATTCCCCGCATACGAATTACGAAATCAATCATCTCCAATGGCTAGCTATACATGATGCAGTTTTGCTTGCCACATCAGTGTTTTCTGGCTAATACATTTTTCAGCAACGTGATGCTCCAATGGTTAGATATAATATTTCCCTCTTGGTAGACCCCACAAATGGCCAATCAATCAATTTTTGAAATACACATTTTGAACGGATTGATTTATTAATTCAATAAAAATAATACTGCGTACTTATTCTTAAATACTACTCGTATTAAATTGGGAAAATGCTAATAATATTTTTAAACCCACCAATTATCAGTGGTAGGGATAATATGAAAATACATATTTTTAAAATTAATATCGAAAATGTATTTTTGTAAGTTAAATTTTTTTGAAACAGGAAACTTTAACAACACATACATGCTTTATGAGATTTTTTTTAAAGATTTCTAAAAATTAACAAATAAAAAACACTAAATAAAATAAATATAATTAATTAAACGATATCAATTCAAAAGAAATAAAAACCACTTTTGGGGCTTGACAATTGTATTACTGTTAGATTTTTAATTAATTTAGTATTCCGATCCCTCCGTCTTATTCAAATGTTTCCACATTCTTTTTTGGACATTCCAAATAAGATTCTCATTTGTATTTAAGAAAATAATTAACACTCTTAAACGAAAATTTAATAATCAAATATTAAAAATAATAGATTTTTAACATCACAGTATTCATCAATGACCCCATTATATTATTTACCCATCAAAATTATTTTTCAGAGTATACTCGAATATTTTCATTGATAATTGTCTAAATAACCGAGTCATTCTATAATGAAAACCTGTAAGCGGGAGTGCGGGACGGAGGTAGTATATCAATTATCCAATAGATTAAATATATTTGGTAATTACCTGTTGAGTTTAATCCAACACGATATAGTAAATATATGTATGAACACTCAGTTTTTACGTGGAAACCCGAAAGGGAGAAAACCACGGGACTTTTTAGGCTAATGTCCAAGCCCTCTCTTTCTCATTAGGACTCTCCTCACCATTACATTGTACAAGCTCCCATTAATGGAGTATTGAGCTAAGTCTAAAAGAAGGAGGAAGATGAAGCTAAAAGAGGATCCTTTACATGGAGGCTAAGCTCCGTATTTATAGGGGAAGGAGAGAAGGGGCTCTCCACCCTAATGGGCCAAACGGGCCGGTATCAGGCCTGGTGGTCAAAGTGGGCCGGATGGGCCGAAATGGGCCTAGCTGCTTGGGCTCCGTACTGGATAATGTCTTCGGCTCCTGAACAGTAATAGGCCGGGATAATATATCCCAACACAAGTCCCCCAGTTTCTTGAGTAGTGAGCGTGCGAATCTGCTCGAGAAAATATACTCTTGCCTACGCTTTACCTCGATCTAGCTGGAACCTGTGTCTTCGAATAATCATAATATATGAGTGGATGTCCACACTCCTGAACGTAATCTGCCGGTGAGGCACCTCCGTTCCTGACGGGGTCGGGCGAAGGGTGCTCCTCCACGGGCACGCTCCCCCTGAATGCATCAGGCGAGAGTAAAGGACTCTGACTCGAGCTTTCCAACGGAGAAGCTTAGAGGTCCATGCATCTATAAACCGACGTCGCGGTACTGTCAAAACATGATGCACGTGTGTATGTATGAATGTATGAGGTATGATGCATGAATGCATGTAATGTATGGGTGCAATGTATGAGAGAGGGAATACAAAATGTGATAGGAGCGGTAGCTCTCAATGAGAACTCGAGCATGTCAGCGCCGAGAGGCAGACATGCTGCATAAGAGACGTTCGTCGCCATCCTGAAAGGGAAGGGCGACCCTAACGTGAGCCAGACACGATGGCGCTGGGGCGCTGATCGTGCTGCATAAGAGACGTTCGTCGCCATCCTGAAAGGAATGGGCGACCCTAACGTGAGCCAGACACGATGGCGCTGGGGCGCTGATCGTGCTGCATAAGAGACGTTCGTCGCCATCCTGAAAGGGATGGGCGACCCGAACGTGAGCCAGACACGATGGCGCTGGGGCGCTGATCGTGCTGCATAAGAGACGTTCGTCGCCATCCTGGAAGGGATGGGCGACCCTAACGTGAGCCAGACACGATGGCGCTGAAGCGCTGATCGTGCTGCATAAGAGACGTTCGTCGCCATCCTGAAAGGGATGGGCGACCCGAACGTGAGCCAGACACGATGGCGCTGGGGCGCTGATCGTGCTGCATAAGAGACGTTCGTCGCCATCCTGGAAGGGATGGGCGACCCTAACGTGAGCCAGACACGATGGCGCTGAAGCGCTGATCGTGCTGCATAAGAGACGTTCGTCGCCATCCTGAAAGGGATGGGCGACCCTAACGTGAGCCAGGCACGATGGCGCTGAAGCGCTGATCGTGCTGCATAAGAGATGTTCGTCGCCGTCCTGAAAGGGATGGGCAACCCTAACGTGAACTAGACACGATGGCACGAAGCACTGATCGTGCTGCATAAGAGACGTTCGTCGCCGCCCTGAAAGGGATGGGCAACCCTAACGTGAGCTAGACACGATGGCAAGAAGCACTGATCGTGCTGCATAAGAGACGTTCGTCGCCATCCTGAAAGGGATGGGCGACCCTAACGTGAGCCAGACACGATGGCGCTGGGGCGCTGATCGTGCTGCATAAAAGACGTTCGTCGCCATCCTGAAAGGGATGGGCGACCCTAACGTGAGCCAGACACGATGGCGCTGGGGCGCTGATCGTGCTGCATAAGAGACGTTCGTCGCCATCCCAGAGGGAATGGGCGTCCCGAACGTGAAAGAGACACGATGGCACTGAGAAGCCGATCGTGCTACATAAGACGGTCATCGCCATCCTGAAGGGAATGGGCGAGCCGAACCGTGAAGCCAGGTACGATGGCGCTGAGGGGCCGATCGCACTGCATAAGACGTTCGTCGCCATCCTTGAGGGGATGGACGAGCTGAACGTGAGCTGGATACGATGGCGCTGAGGGGCCGATCGTACTGCATAAGACGGTCGTCGCCATCCTGGAGGGAATGGGCGAGCCGAACCGTGAAGCCAGGTACGATGGCGCTGAGGGGCCGATCGCACTGCATAAGACGTTCGTCGCCATCCTGGAGGGGATGGACGAGCTGAACGTGAGCTGGATACGATGGCGCTGAGGGGCCGATCGTCCTGCATAAGACGGTCGTCGCCATCCTGGAGGGAATGGGCGAGCCGAACCGTGAATCTGGACACGATGGCGCTGAGGGGCCGATCGTGATGCATAAGACGTTCGTCGCCACCCTGGAAGGGATGGACGAGCTGAACGTGAATCTGGACACGATGGCGCCGAGGGGCCGATCGTGATGCATAAGACGTTCGTTGCCACCCTGGAAGGGATGGGCGAGCCGAACCGTGAAGCCAGGTACGATGGCGCTGAGGGGCCGATCGTACTGCATAAGACGGTCGTCGCCATCCTGGAGGGGATGGACGAGCCGAACCGTGAAGCCAGGTACGATGGCGCTGAGGGGCCGATCGTACTGCATAAGACGGTCGTCGCCATCCTGGAGGGAATGGGGCGATCCGAACGTGAAAGAGACACGATGGCGCTGAGAAGCCGATCGTGCCGCATAAGACGGTCATCGCCATCCTGGAGGGAATGGGCGAGCCGAACCGTGAAGCCAGGTACGATGGCGCTGAGGGGCCGATCGCACTGCATAAGACGTTCGTCGCCATCCTGGAGGGAATGGGGCGATCCGAACGTGAAAGAGACACGATGGCGCTGAGAAGCCGATCGTGCCGCATGAGACGGTCATCGCCATCCTGGAGGGAATGGGCGAGCCGAACCGTGAAGCCAGGTACGATGGCGCTGAGGGGCCGATCGCACTGCATAAGACGTTCGTCGCCATCCTGGAGGGAATGGGGCGATCCGAACGTGAAAGAGACACGATGGCGCTGAGAAGCCGATCGTCTGCCAGGACTTCATCCTGGGAGGAAGGGTGGACCCGGGCGTCGTCCCTCTGTCTGATCTGGGGAGCTGGTATTCATCGTCCAAGGCAAAAGAAAGCATGATTTTAGCCGATCGTCGTCGGCCACTTCATTCTTCATACTTAAATTTTGTAATTATTCTTTTGTATGTTTTTCAGTTTGTACCTCCCGGCCAATAGTGCCGAGGGATAAAATCATTCTTTGCTCCGTGCTCTTCTGGCATCTTTTTTTTTTTTTTTTTTTTTTTTTTTTTTTGGAGTCTTTTAGTCTTCGTTCGTCCTTGGTCCCTGGTCCCACCGGCGTCCCTACTTCGAGGAGACGTTCGGTGTCCGCCGACATCGCAAGGATGAACAGGTTTATCTACATCGAGATTCCCCCCTTTTTTCGTTCGTCCGTGGTCCTTTTAGCCTTACCGACGTCTCTTGCTTCGAAGAGGACGTTCGGTACCCAAGGACTCGCAGGGACGAACAGGTCTACCCTCACGGGTCCCCGACTTTGTTACCCCACGTCCATCGATCCATGGTCATTTGTGGGATAAACAGGTTTATCTTGGCAGGCTCCCTTGGTTCGTCTAGCCCCCTCCGCGTCTCTACTAACCTCTACATCGAGAGGCGTTCGTCTTCGGCGGTGGGGGAAGATCTGGCACGCCCGGGCAAGATTCCCTTCCGCATATGAGCTACCCTCCTCTTCTCCCCATCTTTTTTTTTTTTTTTTTTTTTTTTTTTGAGGGAGGCAATCTATATTCTTCGTTCGTCCTTGGTCCTTGGTCCTACCGGCGTCCCTACTTCGAGGAGACGTTCGGTATCCGCAGACATCGCAAGGAGGAACAGGTTTACCCTCACGGGTTCCCGACTTTGTTATCCCACGTCCATCGATCCATGGTCATTTGTGGGATAAACAGGTTTATCTTGGCAGGCTCCCTTGGTTCGTCTAGCCCCCTCCGCGTCTCTACTAACCTCTACATCGAGAGGCGTTCGTCTTCGGCGGTGGGGGAAGATCTGGCACGCCCGGGCAAGATTCCCTTTCGCATAGGAGCTACCCTCCTCTTCTCCCCATCTTTTTTTTTTTTCTTTTTTTTTTCTTTTTTTTTTTGAGGGAGGAAAATACGTTCGTCGGTTTCCAAGAATGACCACCAGTGATGTCACACGTAATGGTGGTGGGATACCAACACGAATAAAATGACGAGGCGATGGAATAGCTGGTCGTCATGCGAAGGCGATGGTCACCCTCCTGGAGGGGAGGGGTGAGTCCGATCGCTAACCCAAGAAGGTCGGCATTGGGAGCCGATAAACAATGATCATAATGTCGCTGAGCAGACGGTCCTGATAAAGAGATGACAATAGTGTCCGATCAGGCCGATATATCCGAGCAACGGCTCTCATCCACGCAGCGCGGGGATGAAATCGGTCTTCAAATATGATGGTGGCACTGTACCAGGAGGTCGGTGGCCATGTATGACGTCGGCGCTGGGGCCGATCCAAAGAGAGATAATCAGCGGTCCTCATCCGCGAGGAGCGGGGACGAGGCCGATCTTCAAGTATGGAAAACACGCCGAGCCGGGGGGCCGGTCGTGATATAATGATGTCGGCAATGAGAGGCCGATCTGAGATCCAGCAACGGTCCTCCTCCACGCAGCGCGGGGACGAGGCCGGTCTTCAAATATGGAAAGCACGCCGAGCCGGGAGGGCCGGTCGTGATATAATGGTGTCGGCAATGAGAGGCCGACCTGAAATCAAGCAACAGTCCTCATCCACGCATCGCGGGGATGAGCCCGGTCTTCAAATATGATAAACACGCCGAGCCGGGAGGCCGGTCGTGATGTAATGATGTCGGCAATGAGAGGCCGACCTGACAGAATCAAGCAACGGCCCTCATCCGCGAGGAGCAGGGTGAGGCCGGTCTTCAAACATGATAAGCACGCCGAGCCGGGAGGCCGGTCGTGATACAATGGTGTCGGCAATGATAGGCCGACCAGAAAGAACCAAGCAACGGTCCTCGTCCGCGAGGTGTGGGGACGAGGCCGGTCTTCAAAAGATGAACATGCCGAGCCGAGGGGCCGGTCGTGGTATGATAGTGTCGGCCATGAGATGCCGATCAAGATATGGTCAAGCAACGGCCCTCGTCCGCGGGGTGGCGGGGACGAGGCCGGTCTTCGAATAAGATAATCACGCCGTGCCGAGAGGCCGGTCGTGATATAATGATGTCGGCAATGAGAGGCCGACCTGAAATCCAAGCGACGGTCCTCATCCGCGCAGTGCGGGGACAAGGCCGGTCTTCTAAGGATAAGCACGCTGACCCGAAAGGCCGGTCGTGATATAATGATGTCGGCGGTGACAGGCCGACCTGAAAGAATCTAGTAACGGTCCTCGCCCCGCGCAGCGCGGGGACGAGGCCGGTCTTCAACATGAACATGCCGCGCCGAGAGGCCGGTCATGCTGTGATGATGTCAGACGGCCCTCGGCCGTGACGATCTCCTCTAGGCCCTCGGCCTCAGAATGATGGGTGACCGTCTCACGATTCTCCGTCGTGGTAGTCCCCTCTAGACCCTCGGCTACAAGGTGTTCTTTCCCGAGCCATCGGTCTCCGGGGTGGGGGTGTTCGTCCCACGGTTCTCAACCTTGGTGGTCTCCTCTTTAGCTGGCCATGAACGTCTTCGAGGCTCAGGCCCGAGCGTCTTTTAATCATTTTGCTCGAGCGCGTCGAGTGGCTCCAACTGCGCAATAAGCATGGTAACGGCCGCACGGCCCAACAATATGTATACACACATAGCCATTTGCATGGCTTTCTCTTTAACATCCACGATTACCGGCCTATGGGTCGTCGTGACCCTCGGCCCGGCTCATCGTGCGGGGTCAATGGACGTAGCAGCTCGCGGCGGGGCCAATTAGCAGCCCGCCGAACGTCACACAAAAATATTCATCGGTCTGTGAGTTTTCAAACTCAGACCCAAGTTAGTCGCACTGCCCTCGGAAAAACGAGGTTGAGTGCTTTGCTGCCCTCGGGCCCCATAGGCCACGTTTGGCAATAGTCACTTCGCGCCTAGCGGCGCGGATAGTTCTGGGGTACGGTCGTCGATCGGGCACGTAGTGCCGTGTGGACTAATGTGCAACCCTCCAATTAAAATGCGTCGTCGGGGCATCGCCCTTCTGGGGACGCTCGGATCACTTAATCAAGCTGATCGAGAGTGGGCCAACAGGCCCCACAAAAAATTAAATATCCAATAAAAATATTGGCCGAACTAATTATCACTAGAGTTTCGCTCCGCATTATTTAATTCGGGACATTTTTATCCCTAATAAATAATAGTGATATAACCGGTAACAGTAATGATACTTTCCTATCAAAGGCCATTCAAGTATACTCCGTTCGCTAATCAAAGTCGATCAGGAGCGGGCCGACGGGCCCACAACAACCAGTCATTAATTAAAATGATGGTTAAAAATAACTTATCACTAGAGCTTTACTCACTTGAATTTTGCTCGACATTATTTAATTTCGGGATACTTAAATCCCTATTAAATAATGGTGATCACATATTAACTAGTAGCAAGAAAATTACTCTGTAGCATCAATAAATAAATGTACCGACTTAAGGTGTGGGTACTTAGCTTTATGGAGGTTCGGCCATGTGATGCCATGTAGTAGTGAAAAATGAGCTACTTGAGTATTTTCCCCATCTTGACTTGGTCAAAGCTCCTCCCATAAAGTTGGCCCCCCATTGCTTGGCCTTAGACATGCGGACGTGGTCTGCTTGGGACCATAGTATCTGATACGGAGTATCCTTTAGGCGAGGCAGAGGGAACACCCCTTTAACCGCACCCACCCAGGGGCAGGCTGTACTTGCCGGCCGCCTCACATCGGCGGAGATGGTGGTCGCGGCAGAACAAGGTCGGCCAGAGGGCGCGGTTTCCCGGGGAGATCCATCGAGCTTTGGTTTTCACTTCACTGCGCTCCGAACCACCATTAATTTGGGGAAGCATACCTGACTGGAGGTCGAACTGCGACGGAGGTGAAGACACGGTTCACTGGTTGACGGGGTCCGCAACAGCGGTTGGAGTGAGGCCCGATGTGGCTACGGCGGCGAACTCGGACGGTCTATTCCGACGTCGACCCGGTCAGTTGGACTGCCAGGACCTGTGTTGCCGGTGGTGTGGCCTAGGACGCTGCTGGAGCTCCATCCGGTGCGGCTCCACTCGCCGGAGGTTCATTGCGGCGGGGATGGTTACGGCAGCTCCGGCGGCCTCAAGAACAGATCTGGAAAAAATCCAGATTTTGCAGCTTCCTCTGTCCCTTCCCAGAACCTTTCTTCCTAGATTTTTTTTTTTTTTTTTTTTACTGGAATCAGTCCACTTCGTATGAATTTTTATTTTTTGTAGAAAACTCAGAACAGCAGAATACATGAATCTTTTTGGACAGATTCCCACAGACGGCGCCAGTGTTGAGTTTAATCCAACACGATATAGTAAATATATGTATGAACACTCAGTTTTTACGTGGAAACCCGAAAGGGAGAAAACCACGGGACTTTTTAGGCTAATGTCCAAGCCCTCTCTTTCTCATTAGGACTCTCCTCACCATTACATTGTACAAGCTCCCATTAATGGAGTATTGAGCTAAGTCTAAAAGAAGGAGGAAGATGAAGCTAAAAGAGGATCCTTTACATGGAGGCTAAGCTCCGTATTTATAGGGGAAGGAGAGAAGGGGCTCTCCACCCTAATGGGCCAAACGGGCCGGTATCAGGCCTGGTGGTCAAAGTGGGCCGGATGGGCCGAAATGGGCCTAGCTGCTTGGGCTCCGTACTGGATAATGTCTTCGGCTCCTGAACAGTAATAGGCCGGGATAATATATCCCAACATTACCATTTTAGTTCAAACTTCTCTCATCTCTAGCAACTAGCTTGTATTTGCTAATTTGCTTGTCAAAGCTAGAAGGAAATATGCACTCCAATGGTAGGCTACTAGTTTGAATATTTTTAAAAACTGCAAGCAAGTCCTTAGGAGTAGGCATGGCCTCGGTTCGGGCCACCCGGCCCGGGACCGGCCCGACCCGCTACTGTGCGGGCTCGGCCCGGCCCGGTTTTCCGGGTCCGGGTCCGGGCCAAATCTATTTTTTTTTTAATTTTTTTCATTTTTTTGGGCTGTTGGGCTTGGGCTATCTGTTTAGGCCGGTTTGGGGGGGTGGGGGGTGGGGGGGGGGGGGAAGAAAGGAAAAAAAAAAAATTAAACCGGGTGGCCTGAACCGGCCCGGCCCGGTCCGGCCCGGAACCGGACCCGGGACCGCCCTACCCCGGTTCGGGCTCGGGCCTGCTATTACTGAACCGAGGCCCGAACCGGCCCGGTTCAGTCCACCACTACTTAGGAGGAACCATTGAAGATGCTCTAACCAACTCAAATTGAGGGACCGTCTAATGGATTTGGAGCCCGGTTCCAAATGACAAATTGAACAAATTAGAAAAGATACAAAGAATTAAAGTATACAAATTAGAAATAGACTAGGTAGTTCAATGAAATATAAGTTTTATGATGTTTAAAGTATACAAATTAGAATCTAAAATTTATACGTAGTATATATTTTCAAATCTTGAATAGTACATAACATATAGAAATATCAACCTATAAGTCTATAACTAATAATACATTCTAAATTTTGGAAGCCCCTACAAGAGTGGGCCCCGGTGCCAAGTACCTATTGCATCTTCTAAAAGGATGGCCCAACTCAAATTGACTGAAATTTACCAAAATAGATTGACGCCATGAACAAACCTAAAATAAACCAACTAGATTCGACTTATGGATTGAGCTCGATTCGGTTCTCAATCCCAAAACCAAAATGACTTAAATTGAATCGAACAAATAAAAAACACACCAAACTGAACAAACGAACACAGCTAATCATGATTCATAACCAGTCACACAAAAACAAGAGTAAGTGGATTAGTTAATACGGAGTAATAATAGTTTAAAGTTTAAACGACTGATGGAGTGGGTCGTATGACTGATTGACTAATGGGTCCATGTGGTAGGTTCACAAATCAACATTGCAGCCCAAGGTCCTCCAATTGGCCCAATTCAAGACGTCTAAGTGGTGAGTAGTGAGTATTTTGGCTCTGTCTAGGACATGCAACGCCAGTAGCTTAACATATTAAACATGGAGGTATCAAATTATGAAGCTATCACACTTAGTGGTCCACTAAACATATTTTTCATCGAATTAATCATCAAATGTTGCCATTTCTATTTTAGAACCCAACAAATAAATCATGTGTATCAAAATGATGAAAATATTTTCTTACCATTTCTACTTTTCATGTTGTTTTGATGACTATAAATCCTTCCAAACTTTCATTGAAGAGACCATCTCATGATCTCATCTACATACGTATTACCTCTCTCACTAATTAGTTCTTCCCCATAATTAAGCTTGTAAAGAAATGCCTCGTTCTTGTCTGATATTATTAGTAAGCATATGAGTAGAAAAGATCAGGTCCCTCCGGAGGGACGGGAGGGACCGTCCGGCCAAGGCCATCAGAGGGTCTTCCCGGAGGAATTTTTTGATAAAATTTTTTGAGCATGTTCCTCATCAAGTCTAGTTTATCCATACCAATTTTCAGCTAAAAATTCAATCGGGAAGGCACTCAAATGAGTTTTGGAAGATAACTGCGTTTTATATGTATATAAACTGCGCAGTTAATTTCCAAAAATCATTTGACTGCCTTCCCGATTGAATTTTTAGCTGAAATTTGGTATGCATAAACTAGACTTCATGAAGAACATGCTCAAAAAATTTGAGCAAAAAATTCCATCGGAAAGGGCCCCAAATGGCGACGGCCAGACGGCGGGTCCTGTCCCTCCGGCTGGACAGGATCAGGCCTCAGCATATGAGATCCTCAAATGTAAATGTGAGAGTAGGTAAACACTTTGCTTCATCTATTGTCCTGGCTTTTTGCTAAAGCGTCCCAAGTACTAGGAAGCTTTTCATCACCTTTTTGGCTTGATCTTCAATATTGAAATTATTCTTTTTACCCCTTCTCAGTAAGGAGAGTAATTATGTCACGAATTAACTCTGATTCATTATGAAAAGCTTATTGAAAATGAAACATTTATTTTCTTGTAATTACCATTAACGAGTAACTTCGAGTAGATTTTACATTTGTTTTGCAATTTTGCATTCTAGAACATGACCAGGAATGACTAGACCAATATCACAAATTAATTACTCCCTCCGGTTTTTAATAAACTTCACACTTTCTTTTTTGGGACGGTCTAAAATAAACTTCACACTTCCTTATTTCCTTTTTTGGCAAAGAAATCTACATCAAAACAGTGCTAAACAGTGCCAAACAGTGTCTCAACAGTGCCAAACAGTGTCTCTACAGTGCCAAACAGTGTCTCAACAGTGTACTCTACAATAAAGTCAAATTTCTTTCCTTATTTTGTGTGAAGTCAAAGTGTGAAGATTAAATAAAACCGGAGGAAATATTTAATAGTTTGGGTAGTGTGCTAAAGTTTTTGGTAGTCATAAGCAATATATTGAGATTCGGGTTTAGGTTTAGCAATTATAATACCTTTAGCAAAGACCTTTGTGATGACATTATCATATTCTTCAATGAATTCCACACTTGATAATTTAATGCGTTTATAAAGTTCTTCATCCAGCTTTGCTAGAATTACTAGAAATTCAACTGATTAGTGAAGAATATTGGATAGGCTCACCTTAAATTATCCCAGTCGATCAATTGGATTCATCTTACATGAAATCTTCCTAAGATTACACTTGATTCATGAAGACAATTTGTAGAACCGATTGGAATACTCTCTGGAGAGAGAGGAGAGAGGGAGTGAATTGTGTTACGATTTAAACAATCACAATACAAGAACGATAAACAAAACACAAGAGTTTGGTAGCCCAGTTCGCCAAGAATGACTACGTCTAGGGCGCTACCAAGTTAGGATTTTACGATCAAGTGTTAGAGACTGTATAACCAAGCTCATTCCGAATTTTTTTGGGTCCTTTTATATATGGCCCACGCCCCACGCGTTCTTGTATGGTTGGGGTTAGGTTTTGCTCTCTATAAATACACGCTCTCTCCTTGTAATCATTATCAGAAAATAATAGTAATACCCTGACATGGTAGCGCCTCCAGACATAGTCATACTTGGTGAACTGGGTTACCAAACTCTTGTTTTTTTTTATCGATCTTCGTATTGGGATTGTTTAAATCGTAACAAATTGGGCCTATATTCTTGCCTCCTTATATTCTTTTTAGGATGTAGATAAAGTAAATGTAAAAAGTGATCGAAGTGATAAATATTTTATGAGGAAAAACCTCTTGACTCAAAAGGAACTAGAAATCATCAATCTAGCTACCTCAGGGGATTTTAAAACCATTTCACTAAAATGTATTTTAAAGTTAAATTACCAGAGAGACTCATCCGGAAACTGTTTTAGCAAACTCTTGTACGGTTTGACACTGTTTTAGCATTGTTTTGCACTGTTTTGATGTAGATTTGTTTGCCAAATAAGGAAGTATGAACTTGCTTAGGACATCCGGAAAGGGAAAGTGGGAACTTAATTACGGGACGGAGGGAGTAATACTTATGTACCTCCGTCCCACTAATATTGAAACATGAAGAGGTGATACGATTATTAAGAAAAGTGTGTTTAGATGGTTGATATTGAATTTATAAAGTAAGAATGAAAAATTGATATTGTTTTCAACATTGTGACATTTTTTTAATAAAGCACGTGTAATGATTCATCCCATAACAATTTAATTTCCTAATAAGAAAACTTACATTTCTATGTAAAATTTCACATTCATATGAGAGATTATGTAGAATTAAATAGGGTAATATTGTATTTGTATTAGTCTATTCTTTCCTTACAAAATGTTAATTCCTTAGGTCAAACAACAAATTATAAATCACTTTTAAACCCCAAAAACTCGCGTGTTTTGTAAGTCTGTCTCGTTTGCATTTAAAGAGATTATTTCAATATGTTGATTTTTTAATAAAACATCACATTTTTGTAAAGATTCTCATCCTTTTTACTTTTAATGATGTTTTTATTCACTGGTAATGATAAACTTATTAAATTATTAGCAAACTTATCTTCTAATATCTAAGAGCAGTACATATGAGAAAAATTTATCCCGCTCAATTATGAGCAAGCTTATCTTCTTATACCTAAAATCACTACATGTGAAAGAAAATTTCAACGTTTTCTCCTTTCTACGCCTCTAATTTCATTAGTAGTAATTATAGAAAGTAAGCAACCCCACTTTCATTGATCATTCTGCTCGGATAAATTCGTTTTGTTTCCTAATGCAAAAGTACATCATTATCCATCAGCTGAAATGAAATACACCCAAATTGGAGTAAAACGGACCCCAATGTCACCAGTATAAACAAACACAAAATCATACAAATAGAGAAAAATTTATTACAATATTCTGAAATGAGACACGTATACACACATACATTGGTCAAAAACTATATTCCTTTCGTTTGGAAATAGAGTAAACAAAGAATTAGTAAAAAACTATAAGAAGAATAAGCACTTTGAGCTAGAAGATCAAGTGTGTTAATTGGTCAAATACACACAGTTAATCTACAACAATACCAATTTGAATGGAAAAACTTATCTTTACTCGCAGAAAACATGTTAGTTTGAGGGGCTAATATGTTTTTTCACCGCAAAAATACTCTCCATCTACATCTATTGGAAGAAGAAGATTGTCACGCATATGGTGTCCATGTCCCCATGATAATAGGTTTTTTTATTGGCCCAATACTTTACCCGTTGAATTCTTCGGTCTTTTTAGGCAAGGTTTTGCACGGTAGTAGAAGGCATGC